TTTTTCCTTCCTTTATAGAAAGGAAAATGTTAATTCTTCCTTGCGATGTTAATCAAGCACTGAGGTTGAGGGTGAACAACATCAGTATGGATTTTTTTTAGTCAATCAGCTGTTAATTCTGCAAAGAAAGCAACTAAAATCTAAAGGCTACAAGATACAGCTGTATGAAGACGATAACGATAAGAAGCCAGCAGATGGATCTGAGCAAACAGTCTAAAAGAGTTCCAATTTCAGTCTAGTGAGGTGGAAACAGAATACTTTACATTTTTAGAAGAAATGGGAAAGGCAAGGATTCAATTATGTTGGATAATGTGCTCCTCAGTGTAAACAGGAGAAAGAAGGTCAGATAGCTTTTGTAATTTGTTTCAGAAGGGAATGCCAATTTTTTCTTGCTCTGCACATGTATGTATCAAGGGCACAAGAGAGATATAAATGTTTGTAAACACAAATAAACACACACACACGGACCTCTATATATTTTTTCCTCTCCTCATTATGTGTTGAATGCATCAAAATTATATCCCAGTTGTAGCAACTATTAAAGCAAGGGTGGTTAACCTGTGATCATCTGTAATCTCCTGGAGGCTGTCAGCTCAGACCTATGGAAACAGCCGTTTGTTCCATCCCTATCAAGGAAGGAACCTGTTGCAAAGTTTTGAATTTTGGTAAAATTCCTCTAGCTGTGCAAGAAATTGCCAAGTAGTATAGCTTCAAGTTCCTCAAAGTAGACCACTGGTTTTTTCTCATCAACTGGCACTTATAGCCTCAATAACTCACACTACGGCATTAGTGGCAGAAAGAAAAGGCTCATTATTTGCAATAGAACAGATAACAGCAAACTAACAAAATATGCCTACTTTTCAGCATCAGGCCTCCTAATACTGCTGACTGCTTCTAACATACTGAAGAGAGGGTGAAAGTCTCTGAGCAGACAGGTGGGACTCTCTTTGAATTCAGAAGCAGAGAAGGAATTGTTGGTTACTGCTGGATAGGTTAACCGTCCCTCTAGCCTGGAAAGGTCCCTCCCAGCCAGATCTGCAAAAGGCAGTGTTTAAAGCTGCAAAAACTCCAACACTACTCACATTGGATTAGTTATACTACAGTGATCCCCAAACTTTTCTGAACCATGGACTGGTTGGGGGTGGAATCTGTGTGCATGTGCAGGTGGGCAGAGTGGTAGAATATACCAGATGGGCGGGATATAAATTGAACAAATAAATAAATAAATGAGAGTGGGCAGGGCACCTCTGTGCACATGCACAGCTGTGCGGGTGTGCACACAGGTGGGTGGGGTGTGCACATGAGTGGGCAGGGCACCAATGTGCACATGCATGGGGGGCATGGGTGTGTGGGAGTGGGCCGCCCCCTTGCACACATTCATGGGTGGGCAGGGCACCCATACGTGTGGGGAATGTGTGTGTGTGGCGTACTTGCGGGGAATAGGAGATCTGTCTCCACAACCCAGTCCTGCCAAGGCCACGGCCTGGTAGCAGGCTATGGACTGGGGGTTGGGGACCCCAGTATTACTACGCCTGCTTCCAGACAGAACTATACCTGCGTGCCAGCAGTTCAGTAGCACGTGTATGGGTCAGGGATTGTAGCCCAATCGTTTTCATAGGGATGCATTGTTGGTGAAAATGTGTGCATCATCTGGGGGCTATTGCATGCAGTTGTGCAAAACACAGCCATTGCACGAACATTCCTTGCATAGAGCTCTCTCTTTCTCTCTACCCCTCCCTCCCTCTCATCCAAACAGTATATACACAAACAGAATAGGACACCTGAGGTCTTTTGGTTCCAGCTTGAAGAACAAACAGCATTTGTGCCAATCTCCTCTCCCTTTTTAATGTTTTAAACAGGACACCTACATTTAAGCTAAATGTTACCCCATGTGCAGACCATTCCATGACATTTGGAGAAGTCTCTCTTTTTCCTGGACTGCAACCCTCAGATTTCCCTCACCAGCATGGCCATGTTGGCTGAAGGAATGTTGGCAGTACAAAAAAAATAATAATAATTTTCTAAGCTCCACAATTATTCCCATACAAATTCAATACAAAGACATAATTTCACTTTCTGGCTGTTCTTTAGTTCCTCTCCTATAAGCTTTGCTGCCGCCTATGGGAAGATTTTCTTTCTGCATCAAAACAATACAGTGGCTCCTGCATTGTAAGAAATTAATAGGGGACTTCTGGCAGATGATGGCAAAAGAAAAACGAAAGAAAACATACAACATAGGATGGTTCAACTCCTTCCCTCATGTCCAAACAAGCAGAGCAAAATGTCAGAAATCAGGGTGGATTTGATTCAAATCAAATTGATTCAAATAATGATTTAAAGAATGATTTAAAGTTTTGAAAAATATAATTAAAATGTAAATTGTGATTTAAATTGTGATTTAAATCAATTTGATTCTTAAAAATAATTCATTTTTATTGCACCCTGGCAGAAATAGCAGACAGAGAACACTCCTACTCCCTTTTCTCTCTGTGAATCACTCTTTGTGCTTTCTTCTTGTTTTAGTGAAATAAAGAAGTAAATGTGAAAGCCTACAGCTGCCCAGGATAAGGTGGGTATAATATACATGCATTCAGGTAGGCAGCCATTCTTATTTTTCTTTACTGAGTATTTTATAGAGCAAAAGCTCTTCTTTCAGCCTCTTCTTCCTTTATGTATCCTCAATAAGAGCTTGAAAACAGGCTTGGGAAGTGAGAACATGACACGTTCCCTTAGAGGTATATCACACAGCCGTAAAGGTCATAATAGCCTAGCACAGTTAAACGAAGTTGGTATTTAAAGGTTGCTCCCCTCATGATGTGAGCCCAGAAAGGGCAAGATGGAGATGGCAGATGGAGAAGACAGTTGTTCGGCAAGGGGATCGGTGTGGGCTAACAACTATGACTTATGGCAGCCAAATCCTTTTCATGTCTGGACCTCTGAATTTATAGGACCACCTTGTAGTCACTTTACATCCCTTGCTATCACCTTATTAAAGGACACTGACCTCAAGGCAGTGTAGCTACACCTGTCGTGGAAGTGGAAAGAAGGTAATCAAGAGACTCAGCACAGAGTATGGGAAAATCGAATAAAGAATGACCATGGAGAGGGGGGGGACGCACTGAAGGCAAAGGTGAGATGCGAATTCATGCCCAGGATATTCTGAGCATTTCTGAAAATGGCATGGGAGTCTACTGTCATATTTTAGAGACCATGATGTTTTTTTTTTAAATAAAGATGGGGGAAGTGGAATACACTATCAATAGGTTCAGCATTTTTGACAACTCCTTCAAATTTCACACTAAGCCTCAGAGTGTATTCACCACCTCCATTAAATTAAAGTCACCATCTCCACTGGGCAGAAGGTAATTCACTGGCTGATTTGCAGTATATTAACAAAAGGGGTGGATACTGCAAAATACATCTGATTTCTGGAGAAAATTGATTGGGAAAATCAGGAGTGGATTTTTGTGTGAAATGACATGAAGCTTGGTGTTGGTACTGATAATTAAATTCCTGCTCAGAGGTACCATGTTCCTTTATTTTGCGTGTAGGATGGTCTGAATGAGTCAAATTTTTGCAGCTGCCTTTGCTTCGTGGATCTCAGAGTCCTAGTTAAACCAAAGCAAACCACAAAGAAGGTCCCAAAGGTCTAAATTCTTTCCATCATGCCATGGAGACCAGGGGCCTCTAGAATAAGATCTCATTTTGCTCCTAGAGGTACTATTGCCATTCAGGTGTGCATCTCTCTCTCTCTCTTACAAATAATAACACAAATCCCCAGGAATTAATGCATGGTTATTCTATAGTATCTTTGGGCCTGGTGATGATGGGCTTTCCTTCCCTCCTCAGACACTGCCATCTACTCCTCTACCCTTCATGGGTACTTGAAAAAACCACAATCTCAAAATATTCCTTCCTTCCTTTTATAACATCCATATAGATATTGTCCCCATCTCCTATTGCTCAGTGTCAACCTTTGCTTCCCATGTCTGTATCTCTTATCCTTTTTATATTAGTTCATGGACCACCACTTTCTCCCCATCTTCCCTTCCTACAACTTGTTCCTATCCCAAGGATTCTGACTCCAAGCTATAGCAAAGAGTAGCCCAAGACATTTTTCTTCTTGAGGTATAGCAGTAAATGGCGTCTCCATCCAAATCAAAATATATGTTAGTAATCAAGCCTGGTCAAGTTGTTTGGAAGCTGTGGTAAAGTCCCAGCAGGAGACCTTGAAGTAAAATACTTAATAGCTAATTCCATTAATAACAATTTGATGACAGTGAACTCTGTTACCTGAGGTGGCCTCCTCACTCTCCCCAATGACAGGGCCAGCCCTGTTAACATTCCGGGTAGGTACTAATTTTACAGGACACACTCAGAATTTTTATGAGTGTTATGTAAACTGTACTTGCTGAAGAGGCTTGTGAGGTTGAAGCTCGTTTTGCTCTGTCATCAAATGGAAAGCCTCCTGTTTTATATTCAGAGTATACAAACCTTAAAGACAGGAGTTTCCCTGCACATGCCAGAGGTAGCTAACAATATGCAAAATGTTGTACCATTGTTTCCCATCTATTTGTATTTGTTTCTCTAGACTTTGTGCCAACCCTGCCTTCAGGTATTGCATTTCCTACCAGATATTTCCCCTTATTGTTTTCTCACAGATTCTGTATAAATATGTCTTTCCCTATTCATGTTTTTCTTTTTTCCATATGTCTGCTCCTTTGTTCATTTTTATTCCCCTTGCCACTTGGACAGGCTTCAGATGAGAATAAGAATAATAAACAGAAGAATTGTGTTAAGAGTTCTTGAGATATCCATTCATAGTTCTTAGGATTCACAGGCTGAGACCCAGTTCCTTGACACAGTACGTTGCAACGAGAATAGGCCATTGAATTGAGCATTTCTAGAGATACACTATTGTGCCATTCTGACAAACAGAAATGCCATTATGAAATGACAGAATATTTGTTAATATAATTAAATATGTTCAAATATCGCACCTGAGTCTTCGAAATCGCTATTGTAAGCATTCCACGTCTCGCTTATGCGAAGTAGACTCTCTTCCATTGCTTGAATATCCATATATGGGCAGTTGCATTCTGGGAATTTGGGGCCACACTGACACCAGCAGTCATTGCCCTTGCAGATAAACTCCCCTTCCGAATTGCAAGCGATGTAGCTCAGCGCAGCCTGCACAAACCGCTCTTGCAAATATTCCGGCAGGATAAGCTGAAGACCTTGACAGAGGTAAAAGGAAGGGTTGGGGTGGAGGAGGAAAGAACCTATTTTACTAAGTGTGATGGTTTCCTCAAAACAATTATTGCAATTCTATCAATAATCTGTATAGAAAACCTGTGGTGTGTTTTTTTTTCCAAACATGCTCACAGACATTATCAGCCCACATCTTTTTCATACCTCAACTGCCTACCCATGCCAGCTGTACTTATTTTCCTAACAGGGGAAAAGAAGAACTAGCTGTTTTCCAGTTGGTTGTATATCAAACAAGGGTATTGCAATCTTAATTGATTTAATTTATTTTTCTTTTAAAAACAGTTCTATTAATAAGCTAACAAGATAGGGGTGTTTGGGGCCTTTTCATTTTTATTCATATATCTATGAATAACAATGAAAATGTCCTAAACACTCCTAACATAGAGCATCAGTTTATTTTCTGCTATGAATATGTGGTTTTCTTTTTTCTTTTCTTCTTTTAACTATAATTTGTTTTGGAAACCTTACCTATCAACATAGGGAATCATGAGATGCCTTAAAACTTCATTTTGCTAAACAAAAATGACTGGGAGTCATAATTTAAATCTTGAACCCTACCCATTTTTGTATTATTGAAAGAGAAATTTGACTTTAAATTAAAGCAAGCTATGCAAAGGGTTTTTCATTATCTTGGTGCCCAATATCTCCCTGATCCCAATAAACTTATTTATGCTTCAGATTAACCCCTTGAGTGCTTCCCTCCCAACTTTACTTGTTCAGGACAACCTTACAATATTGAGGGATATGCGGGAAAGCACAACAACAGTAACAGCAACAGCAAAACACTAACAGCACTACCAAAACTATAAGGAGGTGGCATATTGCTTCCCAGTGGAATGGTGATATTGTATAAAATATCCACATGATTGGTTGCCAACTACACATTTTTTAAACAATTATTACGCAGACATCTGAGTGGACTGGATCCAATACCTTGCCCCTAGTTGCCTATGTGAATGGAGAGGGACCGAGACAGAGATGAAACTGAGCAAAGGAATTATTTGTCAACCTCATGTGAGGTATTTGCTTATCTACATATTTCCCATAAAGTAATCCAAGTAACTGGTGTTTATCTAACACAGCGGGGTTTGGAAACATGTGGCCCTCCAGGGTTGGGGAACATCTAGATTTCTAGACTTCTTAATCCTGTTGGACTACAGCTCCCACTAGCCCTCACTGATATGGCCAATGCTGAGAGATAATGGGAGCTGTAGTTTAACAATGTCTAGAAGTTCCCCTATACCTCAAACCTGAGGCAGAAGAACTGTTAGAGTTCCTGTTGCTGAATTTGTTAACATAGGGATCAAAGTTGTTTTTTTGGCTTTGTGTTGTCTAGAACAGTTGATTTTGGGCTTCTGGGCTTTGCTGTGCGGAGGTTTACATCAAAACCTCTGTCTTGATCACAGCAGTCAATAAATTTTGGAAGCAGGAAGGCAGGGAAATCCACTGTGTGGAGATGGCAAACAAAACAGGTAAACAGGAGGGAAATCAATTCAATGAAGTATGCAGTCTCCAGTAGCAGGTGCCATATTGCCAGCTCATCACATCAAGATCTTTTTAATATATTGCAGATGTCTCAAATGAATGACAGCCAAATTTTAAGGCAGTTACAGCCAAGTACCTGACACTTTACTTCTATTTAGTTATGTCCGTCACCTATCTGATGGAATGCCTTCTGCCACCAAAATCTACCCGTATGACTCGATCTAGCCAGAAGGTGTGATTGAGGAGCCGAACGCCGTCACATCAAGATCTTTTTAATATATTGCAGATGTCTCAAATGAATGACAGCCAAATTTTAAGGCAGTTACAGCCAAGTACCTGACACTTTACTTCTATTTAGTTATGTCCGTCACCTATCTGATGGAATGCCTTCTGCCACCAAAATCTACCCGTATGACTCGATCTAGCCAGGAGGTGTGACTGAGGAGCCGAACGCCGAGAGAGGTCCGAAAGGAAAAAACAAGAAACCAGGCCTTCTCAGCAGTCGCTCCTCAGTTATGGAATAATCTACCTCCAGAGATCCGTATGGCCCCTTTGCTGGGTATTTTTAAAAGCCAATTAAAAACTTGGCTATTCAGGCAGGCCTTCCCTCCGAGCACTATTTGATCTATCTTCTTTTTTTCCCCATCTTGAATTACTTCTTGATCTTGATAATGATGCTATTTTAATTTTTATTTTGTGTGGTGTACGCCGNTAAATAAATAAATAAATAAATCTCTTCTCACCAAGATTCTAGCATATTTAGAAATACATCCTATTTTACTGTTATCTTCTACAATAAACTCACCATGGGTGGAAGAGGATGCTTGATTTTGTCACCCTATCTTTTTTTTCATCTTAAGAGGGTGAGTTCTGCTATCCATGGGTGGTCTCCGCATGTGAAGAACCAGGAAAATCATAAATAAATAAATAAATCTCTTCTCACCAAGATTCTAGCATATTTAGAAATACATCCTATTTTACTGTTATCTTCTACAATAAACTCACCATGGGTGGAAGAGGATGCTTGATTTTGTCACCCTATCTTTTTTTTCATCTTAAGAGGGTGAGTTCTGCTATCCATGGGTGGTCTCCGCATGTGAAGAACCAGGAAAATCAGAATCCTGAGTCACACAGATAGTTTGCAGAAATAGCAAAGGCTATGTCTCTTCAGAATTTGTATACTCTTACAAGGGTGGCATAAATGACATAGGGAGGCAGTGCTATCTCCTCTAACTGTGTTACATTTACCCTAATAGATAATATCTAGCTGGCTGGATAGCTCAGTGAATTAGGTATCTGGCTATAGAGCCTGAGGCTGGGAATTCAATTCCCCATCGTGCATCCCAAGAGAAAAGCCATTTTGTGTAGTAGACTTGGGCAAGCTGCATAGTCACAGAGTGTCCCCAGGGGAAAGAATGGTAAACCACTTCTGAGTAGTCTCTACCTATTAATCCTGGAAATAGTCACCATAAGTCAGAATGGACTTCACAACATATGATTTTCTATTATTATGTAGGGTGAAGATCATAAAAGGGAAGAGAGAGGTAAATTTGACTCCTTATGATTCCCCTATTATAGTCACTTTCCTTAGAGACCTAAAAGTGACTTCTCAGGTATTATTTAGACACATGGCAAAATCCTGCATGGGATGACATGCTTTCAAAATTATAGGTAAGCAATTGTGTATTGGAATGCTCTGTCTCACTTATTGAATCATGCAGTCGGATTTCTGCAGTTGAAAGGATAAGATGATAAGGTCCCAGGAATATCTGATACTTCTGAACTTGTGAATTGGCCACTGGGTAGATTTGATCTGAATGACTGGCCAAGCCAAATGTATGGAGGTTTTGGAGGTAGTGGTGGGGATGCAATATCTAGATGTGATAACATATAACTTACAAACTTACAAAATGGTCTGAGCTATGAAAGGTAGCTGCCACTACACCTTTTAAAAATGGGATCAGAATATCCCTGGAAATAATGCTATGTGTCAACTCTTTCCAGGGGCACTGAATAAGGAGGGAAAGGTCTCTCCCAATCCAATTCCAAAGAAATAACCAATCCCCTGTCCCCAATTGTTGAAAAGATTGTTATGGCACATTGTATTCTTAAGTGGGTCTTTCAAGTAAAAGTTGCCAACTGAATACAGAGATCCTGCATGTACATTTCCCAAGGTGTCATGATATGAGTAACTTATGGAGATCAGGCAAGGAAATGATCTGCTGACAGTGGCAGTATATTGAATCACAGTGTTGTCTGCAAGCGTTTGGACTGTATATTGTATTTTCTCTCAGCTGACAAGTCAAGGCCAGCCCAATCCAATGAGGCAATACCTATGGGTGATTAAGACAGTGAAATGCCAAGGATGGCCTTCTTGTTTGTAAAACAGTGTTGACAGAAAAAAAAAAAGAATAAAGAGAAACCTCACAAGATGTGAAAGAAAATGGCAGGATTTATATGGAAAAGCACTCACATTGTTCAGCAGTTCCTCATCACTAAAACAAAGATACTATGCCTTTTTTGAATTTTTTGAAACTGTTTTTACCTGATAGCTTTAGTATATATAATAGGTTAATTTCCCTCAAAATACTGTATTTGTTTTTGTTGTATTTTAATTGTCCTAACTAGAGATGAGGACAAATCACAAAAATGGTGATCAGTTTTGATTCGTGATCTATCAAGGTTAATTGATCAACCGATACGAATATACGAATATTCTTCAACGAATTGATGAATCGATCTGTCAATCTGTCTTTGCTTTAAATTGCAATAAAACTGGACCCCAACCACCTAGAGACACTACATTTTCTGGGAAGCATTCTCAGATGCCTTTCTACAACTCCTGAAAGTTTGGTGAACATTTGATCATGGACCCCTGAGTTATATACTCACAAAGATGACCCTTCAGGAAAGCTTCCCCCGGGAGCTTAGAGAGCCCAGAATCACAACAGAGCTTTCTATGTCCAACACACCTGCCAACTTTGGTGAAGATTGAATATTGGAAATCTGTGTTATTTACCCACAAATTTGGTCCCCCCAGGAGAGTTTACCACTTGGCACAGAAGCCCATTCTGCCTACTGGCTGCCAATTAGTTGATCAGAGGCCGATAGGCAGCCACCCATCCCCACAGCCAGCCCCCCCCACAGCTTACCCAGCCACCCCATTCCTTTCCTTACATTAGCCCCCACCCCACTCCCACCGATACCCCCTTACCTTAATAGCTACTGTCGAGGTCTCCATCAGGCCTCTCTTCCCTACCCTAAATGAAGCCACAGCTGCCATCTTCGCAAAGGGCAGCCAGTCTCCCTTTTTACATGCCGTGGCTCGGACTAGCCCAAGAGACCTTGGCAGCTTTGATTAAGGTAAGGAGCTATCCTTGGGGATGGGGGAGGGCTAAAGTAGGGAAAGGAAGGAGGTGGGGGTAGGCTGTGGTATTGGGTGGCTGTGTGGGGTGGTGGCTCCCTTTCTGCTGCTGATCAGCTGATTGGCAGCTAGTAGGTGAAATGGTGTTTTTTTAAAAAAAAA